TTGGGATCTTTCTGGGGCAGTTTTGCTTCAACTGGAAAGTCTAAGCACTGTTTGACCCACTGGAAAGCTTTTGTTGGAAGTGAAGCTTATGTGAGTATGGAAAGGTTAAGGGTTCCCTAAGTACTGAAGAGAGGGATGGCTTCCTATAATTCAGGGTTTTAATGATGAGATGAGTATTCAGTATGGTGAAGCTCTGCCATTCACTCTATCAGCTGAATGTGTTTCAATTGCTACTCAGCCCAATTGGCAGGTCAGGAGGCCTTTCGGAGCTGCGTAAATCATGTCATGTACCATGGACAGCTCCCAGTTCAGGACTAGGGGTAGGTTTCAGTAGGTTTTCATACTCCTGGGATTTCCTGGAGATATCTAGAATACCATTGTCCAGTTGGAAATCAGGAAAATTTCAGCAGTGCCATTTTTGCCAATTTCCCATAAAAATAGCCCAACAACTTAGCCCCCCCCCCAAAAGCTCAACAATGTTTCTGTCCAGATTTTCACTGTTTAAAATATGGCAACCCTAGTTTCAGTAGTTTGCCCTGCACTTGCCAGCAATTGCCCCTACCTGGGATATAATTCCTCAGTGGGCCCTCAACCATTACCCTTCCAGTCACCTGTACTGTTGGCTTCCAACAGGTGGGTCCCAGCTAATACTTACCCACTGCAATTTGGGTAAGTCAATTATTTGCTTGTGGGGACAGGGAAGAGAACACTTATTTCTAGAGCCCCCTCCTCTGTCCAAAACTCAGCACCTACTTCTCTCCAAATTTAGGTTGTCCACGGCAAAAGTGTGTTCACACACAACACATGTCCAGTCACAATTTATTAGCAATGTGGTTAAAGGAAGCTTCTTAAATGCCTGTTTTTGAAAGTGAATTTGACACATGCAATCCATACCTATATTCCTCCAATTAAAATCTGAAATAAAGAACCCCTCTTTCCCATTAGCAGTCAAGAGATTGTATTCAATCCTAGTCCTATGCAGAATAAACCCACTGAAATGAACGAACTTGTTTATTAACTTCAGCAAGTCAGTCTGCTCTGAGTAGGACTAGCATCGGACACAATGCAAAGGGAGGGAAATTTATTACACCAGGTCTGGCACTGGGACCTGGCTGTAGACTGAAGAGGTATAGGAGGAGCAAGGAATCTCTGGCTTGTGAGTGTAATGCAGCCCTCCAAGGCTTTCTGACTGGCCCTCAGGACTCTCCCCAAGCCACCTACCCTCACCACCCTAAACCCACATTGGCTCTCCTCTCCATCCTCCTGCCATGCTTTTGACTGGTTGGAATGTGCCCTTGAACTCTGATTACTGTACAGAAGTGTAACTTCCATTTGTTTTCAAACCCACGGTTTCCTCTGCCACTTGCAAGTAGTTTCTGGAAGGTTTCACAGAAGGAAATGTGGGTCTCAGGCTGGGGGAAAAAAGTTTCTGACCCCTGAGGCATAGGTTACAGCATTGATGTGCTTCTTCCCTTTGCCCTATACACCCCCCAACATGACTCCATCCTGTTTCAGCCATTCCATCAGCATATCTGTGCTGGTCCCTCACTCTTGGCATATCTGAGCTGTTCTGCTGGTACATGTGCTGTGGGAGCGACATATCTGGTACCCTGCTGGCCACAGGGCTTCCATCAAGTCCTTTACAGTGTTAGAAACTGAGATATGAAAGCTAGGAGCTAAATGGCACCTTAAACCTAGGTTATGAGCGCAACAATGGAATGTCTAGGCACACTTTTTTTATATAACAAGAATACAAAGCCGAAAATGAATGAACTGCAGCTAAAACATTGTGTTCATTTTTCACATGGCCTAGTCCTTCCCCTGCCCACCCCCACCCCCAATCTTCTTAAAAGGGTCTCTTCTCCAGCCTTCAGAGAGTAGCTGGAAGTGGGGAGGCAGAAAAAGTTCCTCCTTTCCTTCCAGCAGTGGCAATTTTAATCTGAAATCTTAGACGCAGTACTGCACCCAGAGCTCAGAAATTTGCTTTGCACCCTAAGTCATGCTACAGTGCTTTGAGGAGCCCATTCATTTAGTATTTGAATCCTGTGTGTCACCGTTAGCAAAAAAAAGGAAGAAAATCAAACAATAAATCACCCCTAACATAGTTGTGTGTCCTGGAATTTCTGGGAAATCTGGCCATAATCTTGGGCAAACACTTAGGAGATGGAAAACAAGAAGCCGAGGCTGTAATCAAAGCAGAGGAGATTTTATCCAGGGGAGAAAACAGAATAGGAAAGACAGAGCTCAAATGCCAGTTTTTCTGGTATGAAATGCAAGCTGCAGCAGTAAAGGCTGAGTGATGTTGACTCTACAAGGCCCAGACGACAAAAACACACAGCAAAAAAAGCAACCTTTTCTCCCTCCCTCTCTTTTCTTAAAAAAGGCTTCTGGCTGCTATGACCCAAACATTGCCTTTGTGGTTGGGCTTTAGTGATATTGCCAATGGTGAAACATACAGCCCTCAACTCCAGTCTTGGCAGGAGAGAGTGAAGGCAGTATTAATTTTTAAATGCGGATGTCAATCAAATGTAATGTACTTGTCATTCCTTTATACTTGGTATAGCCTATTAAGGATTTACTGGGCAGCTTTATTAAGGCTACATATTTTTATAAAGAAGCCTTATACCCCCTCCCCGTTTTTTGTGCTAACTCAGAGCCATTCTGCAGACAAATAGTCACACACACACAAACATTTTAGGTACCTATTCTGTGAAGACTGCAGCTTGCCCAGTTGCAGACCTCATGTGGCTTAAGCGCAATCAGTAGACTCCTGTATAATTACCGTATTTTTTGCTCTAGAAGACTCACTTTTTCCCTCCTAAAAAGTAAGGGGAAATGTGTGTGCGTTTTATGGGGTGAATGCAGCCTGCGCAGCTATCCCAAAAGCCAGAACAGCAAGAGGGATTGCTGCTTTCACTGCGCAGCGATCCCTCTTGCTGTTCTGGCTTCTGAGATTCAGAATATTTTTTTTCTTGTTTTCCTCCTCCAAAAACTAGGTGCGTCTTATGGTCTGGTACGTCTTATGGGGTGAAAAATATGGTAGCTGTTTTTTCAACTGTATCACTTCTGACTGTGGGGGATCAATCAAACAGTGGAGACTGGGATATCAGGGGAAATAGGGCATGGCCCCACTAACCTCAGACAGTCCTCAGACAGCCCTACCTGCCCACCTGCTTTCCTACTTACAACCAGCCCCAGAGGCTGCACTGCTGGTCAGTTAAATCTGGTCAGTTAAGTCTCAGTGCTGCCCTACGTAGAACTCAGCAGGGAAGGGGATGGGGATAAAACTAGAGTTAGTTGGCTCTGCCTGCCAATGGCTCTGAATCGGCCTACTGTTGGGGATCCTTCCTTTCTACTCTACCAGTCCCAACGAGCACCCAATGTCTGAATGTACAGTCGTACCTTGGAAGTTGAACGGAATCCATTTTGGAAGTCCAGCCGACTTCCAAAACGTTCAAAAACCAAAGCGTGGCTCCCGATTGGCTGCAGGAAGCTCCTGCAGCCAATCAAAAGCCATGGGAGCCCTGACGGACGTTCGGGTTCCAAAAGTAGTTCATAAACCGGAACACTCACTTCTGGGTTTGTGACATTTGGGAACCAAAATGTTCGAAATCTAAGCTGTGCAAAAACCAAGGTACAGCTGTACTACCATTTCTCTTTTTTAAAAAGAAAAAAACCATAAAACTGTTATGTCACAGAGTAAGGTAGGATTGAACTCCTTAAACTGCTAGTGGCGGGGCAGGGAAGAGTTCTTTTCTATGCAAGAAGCAAGAAAAATTCCACCTGGCAGCATATACTTGTAGACTAGTACTAATACTGTTAAAATTACTGTTAACAGTAATATTAACGATGTTTTTAATATTGTATTTTTTAATTGTTGTAAACTATCCTAGGACCTTATAGAGAAGAGTGAATAATAATAATAATAACAATAATAGGGATTAAAAGAAGGATTAAAAGAAGGATCATAACTGTAAATTAAAAAATAAATTGCATGACTTTGCTTATCATGTAACTCAACATATATCACCTGCTAGTACTTTGCACCAGGCCTGGGGCCCAAATGTCCCCCTCTGGGGCCTTGCACCTCTTCCCAAGCCACACCTCTTTTCTCCAGGCTACACCCCTCACTGGCACTACTTTGCACTCCAAATGTTTTTGGCTGGTATTTCCTACTTCCATAGATGGAGGACAGAGAGGGGAGTGTAGAAACTAGCCTCTGGTCAAACATAAAACGTAACATTAATTGCTTTTATTTACACTTTTGCCTCTGGCCCTGCCTGTCAGCTGCATGTGGCCCCCAGAAGGGAATATGGTCCCCAGGTGGAAAACAGTTCCATACCTCTGCTTTTACGTCATTACTCTGACAGCTTACATTTGAGATAGCTCACCTGTCAATCAGCCAGTTGAGGTATTCCAGATCTACCTCTGTAAGTTTTTTGCCTAGTGTACAGCCATTATCTTCCACATCAGTTGAATATGTTTTCACTTATAGGAGATCCTAACTGCCCAGTCATCAAGGTGAACTGAATTTTGTAGATGCGTACGGACATTTAAATGTGAAGAGAAGTTGACTGCATCCACCTGCCATTGCAAATAGGACATTGTGGCTTGGATTGGCTTTTCTGCATACTGTGCATCTTTTGTGGATAAACCCTTTTAGTGTATTTGTTTCATTTTAATGGATTTTTTATTATTGCATATTGAATGTTGGTGTCCTTGTAAATCGCTCTGGGGCTCCTTTTGTGTGAAGCGCTAGATAAATTGAATTAATCTAATCTAGTTGAAATATATGAGGATAAGATGTTTATTTATATAGTATTTAAATACCTTTTTACATATTTTGTTCATTTTTCAATGTTCATTGCAGTCGTGGACCCCAAATCCCGATAACCCCTCCCCCCCAAAAAAGAATGTATGAGGATCTGTTCTCTAGGCAGAGCTGTGCAGTTAAGATCACATGTAATTTGGCTCTTTGTTTTCTGTGAATATTGGAAAGGGCTATAGCTCAGTGGTAGCGCATCCATTTTGCATATGGAAAGTCCCAGATTTAATTTCTGGCATCTGCTGGTAAGGCTGGGAATATCCCCAGTCTGAATCTTAGGAGAGCCAAAGCCAGACAGTGTAGAAGATACTCAGCTAGATGGACCAGTGGTCTGACTCTGTTTAAGGCAGCTTCCTATGTAAATTCTGCAACCTTTTGCCATGGCCATGGCCACATGCGTGCGGTCAGTTCTAGGCAAATATAATTGATTTGTATTGCACCGATTATACTGCATTTTGAATCCAGGCACTAAAACATGGCTCATCATTTGATTTTCGCAATGCCCATTGGTTCCAGGCTGCCACACTTTTATATGTCTTTCCTTTTTTGCCAATGAATTTTTATTAGTTTTCAAAAAAATTAAACAGCTTTACATCCGGTTAATACCATTTAATACGAAACGGACTTCCTACCCTGTTTTGCGGTCTTTCCCTTCTTGCTACATCATACTACATACATTACTTCCCAATCCTTTACTTAAAATAGTTTAACATTTTATCATTAATTATTTGTTTCCTTTATCCTTTTCCATCGGCTGTTCATATTTCAGTTACTGCTTGTACTATTACAATGGATAGATCCAATATAATTACTCTTCACATTGCCAAGCTACATGGACATTAGTTTAAAATTATTACAGTGTTCCTTAAAAAAACCTCATCCCCTGGCAACATGCAAACACAAAGTTCCAATTGTTTTATTGTTTTTGGTAAAGCCTTTGATCCCCTTCTCCAGATTCAACTTCCTTGTTATGTAGATCCTCTGGCAACAAGACATACCAAAGCAGACTTTGCTCATCTAATCAGGTAGATCTGCACTTTGTAATGTAAGGGTGAGGTATCCTAGAATGCTCTTGGTAAGGTCTTTCACATGGGGCTGGTACTACTGGTGCATATTAGGTGGCAAACAGCTCTGATTTAAAGGCTCTTGGGCACCCAGAGCCTAGTGCTTACAAACCCAGGTGCCAACAGCTGGAGAAACAGCAAATATCTGGATGTCAGAGAAGTAGGGGTACCAGTGGGAGATGTTTCCAATAGTGATGAGTTGGCTAGGCTGAGTGTGTGTTGGAGGTAAAACTCTATAACAGGCTCTCTTGCCTTGACTCTCTAGGGTCACCTGGTTCCTATAACCAGAAGGATTCCTGTCTGTAGCATTTGTGAGGTTCTGTCTTACAGCCGATGGAACAGGGCAGGAGTGAGAAACCTTTCACCCTCCAGATGTTACTGGACTGCAGCTCCCATCATTCATCCCTGACAATTAGTCATCCTAGCTGGGGCCAATGAATACTGGAGTCCCACAGAACCTGGAGAGACCAGAGGTCCACCTTGCTGAATTACCAAATCTATACCTCTCCCACTGGGTCTCTTCTTCAAGCCCTGTGAGTCCAGCACCACTTTTGTATCCATCACTTCTGGCAGGATGAAGCAATTTATTCCAGATGTCCTTGACTCAGTAAATGCTCTTTATAGTCCCCCCTGCTTTCTTTCTATACTTATATCTGACACGGGACTGTTTTCCCAATGCAAGTTGCAAAAATATTGCTGTTTGCTACGTTGGTAACTTAAAGCCAACACAGGGATAGCAAACATACCACAGAGAACAATTTCACTTTGCCCTCTGGGAGGTAGACTGGGTTACCTGATAGGTCATTTTCATTTCTGCCACCTTCGACGCCCCATTGGCCCCAAATTCAGCGCCATCTTCAGATCAATCAGATGACCTCCTTTTCATGCCCCCCTCACTTTTCTATAAACAACTGACCTTAGCATTCTTGGTTGGGGGGGAGGTGAAGCAAATAAGGCCTGACACCAGCACAGGCAACCCCAATCTTTGCCTGTCATCCACATGTAGGATTTCCCTGTGGGGTCTAATCTGCCAATGACAACAAAGCAAGTGATCTTATGGCCTAAACAGCAGCAGTTCTTCTGAAGAGGTGTTCCTCCCTCCCTCCATCACTGAAGCTACTGGCTTCTTAGCGGGAGCCAACTACAATGCTTCTGAAAGAAATCAGAACAGCAGGAGGGTGGAACAATCTCAAATCTCACTCTCTTGTTCAGGTTCTCTACTCCCTGGGAAGTTGCTGCCTGATGTTTAGATAGTTTAAGGGACACTTTCAAAAAAGTATCAGAATAGTCACATGGTACAGCTTTCACTGGACTGTACTATAATGGGGGTGGGAGTCATGGATACATATTAAAAGAAATCTCCCTGCACATACAAAACTAGTACATGAAGTTAAAGAGTTTTACCCCAGTGTTCTTTGCATTTTTTATGTACATTAAAATTTAAACACCAGTAATCAGAATGTTCAATGAAACGATCCCATTAAAACAAGGGGGAAACTGACACAAAGTATGAGTTTGTTATTAGTGGAAACATTCGTTCTGCTGTCCCTCATTCCCCCCCCCCCCCACACACACAATAGGCCTGCACTTAAGAACATAAGAGCCTGCCAGAGCAAGCCACTGACCCATCTAATCTAGTATCTGGTTCTCACAGTGGCCAAACAGATCTCTGTGGGAAACTTTCAAGCAGGACCTGGGCACAGAAACATTATCCCCTCCTGTAGTTTCCTGCAACAGGTATTCAGAAGCATTACTGCCTTCAACTTGTGGAGGTAGAACACAGGCATTGTGGCTAGTAAACACTGATAGCCTTCTCCTCTGTGAATTTGCTTAATCCACTTTTGAAACCATCCCAGTTGGTGACCGTCTCAGCCTCCGGGTTGGAGTGAGTTCCGCAGTTTAACTATGTGCTATTGTGAACCATGCCCTTCTCTTCTTGTCAAACATCCAGTCTCATGGCGCCTTCTTGCCTGATGATCAGACATTTCAAACCAAGCGAAAGTCTTAATGTGAGGTGAATCCCAAGACCACAAACAGTTTGGACTTCAAACTGCGAGGAAATTGGTGCTGAATGAATCGGCGCGCAAAGCAGAAAACTTTCATTTCCTGCAGACAGGATGGAATTGACTGTTATATTAAGACTTCAGAAGGAGCACTACCCTGGAGTAATTTCACCGCTGTCAGGCAGTGTTGACATCTAGATTAACCTCTGTGCAGTGAATTTTACAGCAGAGCTCATTGTGATGCCTTGGTGAGGTGCATGGGGGGTGAGGGGCGGTCTCTTGCAACTCTTACCTGGAGCCTTGGGAGTTCCATTCTCCCAATCCCCCAGAAATTAAAGGTCATGGGAAGTTGTCCCAGGAGTGGGCAAAGCTGACCCTACCCAAGTAAGGTCTCGCTGAATTGACACTGTTTGCTCTGCTGAACTTACAGGCAGTTTAGCTTGTTCCTTCCCTTCCATCCCATTTAATCCCCTCAAGGTGTTGTAAATCAAGATGGTGAAATATTCTTTGCTGCTGACAAGTGCTTCTCACTGTGCATATAAAGAGAACCCAGACGAACATTGCTGAAAGAAGCAGGGCAACCACAGGAGTGACAATTGGCTTATCTCTCTAAGGGTGAAGGACTTCATCTCTGAAAGCTAGTTGATGACTCCAACCTAGGGCTCAAGCTTTTTAAAGTGAAGCAACCTGACTTGAAATCCCTGGGCTGACATACAGTTATCTGTAATTTCCTTGCAGTTTGCTGAATGCTGTGATATGATTTTTAGCTCAAAAAAAACCAACAACCCATAACAAAATGCATCTAAAATACACATTTTAAGATTAAAATGCATACAAAATAAGTGCTTTGTGAAAAAAATTAAATAATGTGAATTTCATGCTTTTAAAAATAAATCACAAATAGATAACAGAAACATGATGGAACAGATTTACGAATGAGCATGTGTGAAACTGAGATGGAATGAGCTGCCCTACTCTAGTTGTGTGATGCCTATTCCTTTATTTCTGTTTCTATTTCTGCCTCCCTCTGCCATACTGCCACTGGCATTGCATATTTTAGAATGCAGTTTCTGCAATGAATATTTTATTTTTTCCCTGCACATTCCATGCATGCTGTTACGTTGGCTTAATAGAACATTATTTTCCCCATTGAAAAGTGCTACAACTGTGACCTTTTGTAAGTAGTATAATTTAGATCTAAATTATCATTGAGCAGTGCAAGTGCTTTATTGTTAACACTGCAACAGGTAGCCCCTCATTTTGATTTAGAACTAATGCTTTTCAGGAGCTGCTCTGAAACATTTCCCACCCCCCGTTGAAAAAAACTCTCCTCTGCACCTTCAATACCATTCCCCTCCCCTCTTTTGGGAGCAGCCTTCAACTTGACAGGGTGGTTCCAGCTAATCAGGGATCACATAGTGCTATGATAACTTTAGGTCAGATTTTATTACATGCTAGTATTGCCGAAGGCAAACTAGGCTGATTTAGAGTAAGGGCAATGCTTCCTTTACTGGTTGCATGGGTGACATATCCAAGCAACAATGGAAGAGAGGAAACAAACTTTTTTCGCATGACCCCGAAATATGAACTTTCGTCCCTTCCTGAGCATTCCTATAAAAATAGACAAAAAGGGGGGTTTGCCTTTTGCTGCTTATTAAAATATTTGTGAAACACACCATTTCCCTTTTCTTCTTAGAAAAGGAAGAATAATTCTGTTAATTATTACCCATAATTAACAGAATGGGGCAACTTATTGTGTCTGTGTTCTCCACTTTTCCCCATAGGTTCAGTGCTAATGTTCTCATGACTGCTGCTTGCTCAAGGCACCTACCTGCAATACGCAATCTGTGGTTTTTGCCCCAGGAATGGGAATTCGCAGTATGTCAGCCACGTCTTCCTCCAACTTAACACTTTCCATGTCCACTTCCCAAGTCACCCTGGTTCTTGCCCTTGGTTGCATGAAGCATTGTTCACAAGCATGAATAGCCAAACTTCCTACCCACTTTAATTTGTTTAGCTGAGTTGAATGTGTCTTTCAAAGGGAATACAGAAATGGTACATATTAATTGCAACCCCAGATTGAACTTGAAATCAGAGCTTCTGGTGCCTTTGCTCACCAACTAAGCTGTACACATGCAAAGTGTGTTGTTAGTAGCAGTCCATTTTTTCCAATACTG